CCGTGGGCGCTGCTTCCGAGCCCTGCGGAGGGGGCTCCCGGACTTTGGGGCTCTTGGAGAGACTTCCGGGCCGGTCCTGAGGGAGGGAGGGTGGTGATCGGAAGGAAGAACAGGTAAGGGGAGTGCCCGCTCTCGGCGTGCCTGCGCGCCGGGCTCTCCCCCTCCTCTCGCTGCTGGTGGCCGGGATGCCCCCTGGCTCTGAGCGGCCTGGGCTCGCTCCCCTCGTGGGATGGCGGGCCGGCTCCAGGGGAGGCAGAGCGGGTGAAGGTTGTCGGGTCCTAGGGCCGTGTCTACTTCTGGTAGCAGTACCCCCCCAAGTGGACATCCTGGCTGAAAGCAGAGGTGACTCCGAGGAGAGTCTTCAGGGAAGGGGGTGCATGCAGGAGCCTGTGCAGTGCTCTGCCACACCCTGTGGGCTTGCTTCGAGGCCTTGGAGTTCCTCCTCCTCCCCCTGCTGCATTGCACCATGGGTATCACAGAGGGGTTTGAGTTTTGGGGGCCTGGGGTGAGCCGTGGCCCGCCTGCAGACCCTGACTCTGGCTGGCAGTAGCGCCCGGGGCCTGGGCTCAGGCCTGGGCAGGACTAGGCCACCTTTAGGCTTCGGGCCTCAGGAACCATCGGACTTCGTGAGCCTGGGCCTCGGGGAGGGAGAGACCCCGATGCCAGCACGGAGCCCTGGGCAGCGGGCGGGCAGGGAAGGTGGCAGTCTTCAGGGGTGCCTGGACTCACACCAACACCCCCGCCCCCATGTGTGCAGCCGTGTTGCCGCCTGCTGGGCTATGAGCAGTCAGAGCGCCGTCTCCACAAGAGTTTACAAATGAAAATGGAGGAAATGTCTTTGTCTGGCCTGGATAACAGCAAACTAGAGGTGAGGGCTTCCCCCATGTGTGCCTCTGGGCCTTTCTCTTGATGTCCTCATTGCTGTGTCTGGCTTCCACGCCAGAGAGACATTTGGGTGGTCTGCCCTGCTCCTTAAGAGGTAGGCAGCTGAAAGGTCCAAGGCCCTGGGAAGAAGAAAACACAAAGTCAAGATGGGGAAGGCTGAGAGAGCGTGATTTTTGGCCGGGACCAGTTGGCAGGAGAGGTGGTGGGTGACTGTTGCCCAGTCCGGGCTGTGACTCGTGACCGTGGGTGTTCTCCGGCGCCCAGGCCATCGCTCAGGAGATTTATGCGGACCTGGTCGAGGATTCTTGTCTGGGCTTCTGCTTTGAGGTGCACCGGGCCGTCAAGTGTGGCTACTTCTTCCTGGACGACACGGACCCTGATAGCATGAAGGATTTCGGTGAGCGTCGGGGCTGAAGGGGCGCTCTGCCGCCCTGGCCTGGCTGTGCCTGCCGTGTCCTTGGCTGAAAACCACCCTCGATGTAGCGCCTGCAACTCACAAGGGGGCGAGGAGGCCATGGGACCGCCACGGGAGGGACCGCGAGGCAAGGGCCCCTGCCTGCCCTGACCGCCATACCTCTCCTGTCCCCAGAGATCGTGGACCAGCCGGGGTTGGACATCTTTGGGCAGGTCTTCAACCAGTGGAAGAGCAAGGAGTGCGTGTGCCCCAACTGCAGCCGCAGCATCGCCGCCTCCCGCTTTGCCCCCCACCTGGAGAAATGCTTGGGGATGGGCCGGAACAGCAGCCGCATCGCCAACCGCCGGTGAGGGCTGCCGCTCATGTGTGGAAAGGGGCCGTGCTCGGCCCCACATACCTGAGAAGTTGGGGGCAGAGAGGTGGCAGCTTCACTCTCTCTCTGCTCTCCCCCTGCAGGATTGCCAACAGCAACAATATGAACAAGTCCGAGAGTGACCAAGAGGACAATGATGACATCAATGACAATGACTGGTCTTACGGCTCGGAGAAGAAAGGTGTTTGGGGATCTGGGAGACTTGGGGGGCGTCAGGATGAGGCGAGCGTGGGAAGCTGGGCATGCAGCGGCTGCAGGTCACCTGGGGCATGAGGGGGGTGCGGCCACGCACTGGCCCTTGATCCCCCGAGACTGAGCGCGCTCTCTGCTTCTGTCCCCAGCCAAGAAGAGAAAGTCAGACAAGGTGAGAGCTGGGGCATGCATGGGGGGCATTGGGGTGAATGAAGGACAGCTACCCTTCCCCTTGGGCAGGGAGTCCTTCTGTGTCTTGATGCAAGTCTGAGCTCCCTGGGGCCTCTGGGTTCTGGGATGAGGGTGTCTGTGGTGGGCCAGGGCAGCAGAGGCCTTGCGGGCAGAGGGTGAGCTGGACAACCCAGCCCTAGCTGGGGAGGAGGCATAGGAATGTGAGGATGTTTCTTTGTCAAATCTTTTTTCCTTCCCTGGGTTCTCGGCTCCCCCTTATCGCTCCCCTTTCCCCAAAGCTGTGGTATCTCCCATTCCAGAACCCCAACTCCCCTCGAAGATCCAAGTCTTTAAAACACAAAAATGGTGAGTGGGGCTGGGCAGTGGTATGCTTCTGGCCATGTGTCCTGGGCTGGGCTGCTGGGGCAGAGGAGGTGTTGAGGGAGGGCCTGTGATCCTTCTGTCACCCCCACTTCCTCTCTGGTTATTTTCAGGGTTCTCTGTCTGTACCTCTGCACCAAACACCCTTCCCCTTCTTTTTTCTTCTTCAGGGGAACTTAGCAATTCGGATCCTTTTAAGGTGAGTACAGGCTGCCCCTCACGTGGCCCTCTCCGTGTCCTTTTGAGCTAGTTGGGGTGTAGCCAGTGGGGTCAGAATGCTGACAGCCAGGAGCACTCAATGAGTGATCTGGGTCTCTTGTGTTTGTTCTTTCTGGGTCCAATGCGCAGGAGGGACAGAGCGAGCCCCTTGGATGTCCCTGGGTGGCCCTAGAACTCTCCCCTAGACAGGGACCACAGGGACAGGACCCCCCCCACCTGCCCTTCCCCTAACTTGTATCTCTGGCTCCCCCACAGTATAGCAACTCCACCGGGATCAGCTACGAGACCCTCGGACCAGAGGAGCTACGGAGCCTGCTAACCACGGTGAGGCGGGACCGGGCCCTGGGAGGGGGATGAGCCCAGGCAGCAGTTGCACCCTGGAGGAGGCTGGGGATGAGCTGTCAGGCCACACTGCTCATGCTCTGGAAGGAGGTGTCCTGGCCTGTGGTGGCCTCCTGGCCTGTGGTGGCCTGGGACTGGTGGCCCTGACCCCTGGGGCCTTTCTGTGTGGGCGATGTAGCATCTGTGCTGAGAGGACAGTGTTGGGAGTGGGTGCTCCTCACTCCCCTTTCAGCTTATGCTCCATTTCCAGCAATGTGGGGTGATCTCCGAACACACCAAGAAGATGTGTACAAGGTGAGCACACAGCTGAGCAAGGGGGCCGGGGCCTCCTGCCACTCCCCGGTATTGGCCATAGGACCCAGGGTCGAGAGTGGAGCCTTGGGGGAGGTCTCCCGCCATTCCCCACCCCTCCTGATGGTCAGCCTCAGGCCACAGCCCGGAAGCTCGCCCTTCCTTCTGTCTCCATCTCTGCCCGCCCTCCCCATCTCCCCTCCCCTCCTCTCCCCTGCCTAGCTTCTCAGGTCCCTCCCTGCCCGACCTCCCCCCAGGTCCCTGCGCTGTCCCCAGCACACAGATGAGCAGAGGCGAACTGTGCGGATTTATTTCCTCGGATCCTCAGCGTACGTGCCCCTGTGGGAAGGCTGGCGGGTAGAGGTAGGCCAGTGCCAACCACGTCCCTAAAGCCCATCCCAACTCCTCCCAGCAGTGTCCTCCCAGAGGTCGAGAGCTCCCTGGACAATGACAGCTTTGACATGACCGACAGCCAGGCCCTGATCAGCCGGCTTCAGTGGGACGGCTCCTCTGATCTCTCGCCTTCTGATTCAGGCTCCTCCAAGACGAGTGAAAATCAGGGATGGGGTCTAGGTACGTGACGCAGTTGGGCCCCAGGGGCTCCTCTGCCTAGAGACCTTGGCACCACCCCTGTTGCCATAACCTCCTCATGCCTTGCGCCTCTCTCCCTGCAGGTACCAACAACTCCGAGTCTCGGAAAACCAAGAAAAAAAAATCCCACCTGAGCCTGGTAGGGACTGCCTCCGGCCTGGGATCTAACAAGAAGAAGAAGCCAAAGCCTCCGGCCCCCCCGACGCCGAGCATCTATGATGACATCAACTGACTCGGGTGCGAGTGATAGCCTTTGGCTGAGCAGAGCCCTCTCCTGACCCCCACCCAGGTGGCACAGCCTGGCAAATGGACAGCTGCTGGGGGTTTGGGTTTGGGAAGCTTGGTGGGCCAGGCAGATGGAGGATCCGAGTGTGCGCCCCTGGGGGGCGTCGAGGTCCTCTGACAGAGCATGACCTTCGTCGTGCAGGACTCAGACCTGGACATACGATGCCTTGGACATACGTTTGGTGGGGAGGCGGTTTTCCTATTTATTCTGTGAGTTACTGGAGGTCCAGCTAGGCCAGGGGCCTGACCTGGGCACTGTGCCAGGGCACCGCCTGCCCCCCACCCCAGGAACTGGACTAGGCCCTGCCAAGGGTGCAGTGGCTACCCGGGAGGCTGTGGGTCGAAGCTGAGCCTTGTGGGCCTCTCCGCCGCCCTCAGCAATGTGAATGGGTCCGGTGCTTGGAGCTGAGGGGCAGGGCTGGGCGTGTCCTGTCTGTGCAGAGTCCTAGCAGATGCCCTCAGTCTAGGGGGAGGCGGGACAGTCGGTCTGCTGAGGTCGGCGTCGGAGCTGCCACCACCTTCCCTGCCCCCCATGGGGCAGCCCTTCCCCTCAGTCCCGCGGCCACCTCTGCGGCAGGAGCTGCCCCTTGTTGGGTGTCAGGAGAGGGCCTCAGCCTCACAGCTTCACAGGATGGGGCAGCAGGACGAGGGAGCTGTCAGCCTCCCTGCCTCCTCTCCACCCCCTGTGGGAGTGGGCCCCAGGTGAGAGGGAACGGTGCTGCTTTATTTGAAATGTTTTCTTACCTCATTCCCTGCCCCAGGAAGGGGCCCAGCCTCACCCTCCTGGGGCGGCCCCGTGGTCCTCCTGCCACCCTGCCCTGTCCCGCCGGGGCAGCCCACGTTCCCGACTGCTGCTTGCCACCCTCTCCACCTTGACCAGCTTCGGTTCCTCAGTGCTCCTGCCTCCGAAGCCTGCCCCATCCCCCTGCGCTTTTAAGTTATTTATTCTGTACTGTGGTTCGGGGCTCTGAGGAAAACCTGCATCTCCTGCCTCACCCCTTTGCTAGGAGTGGGGTGGGGCGGGGGTGGGCTCTGGGCTCTCAGCTGTCAGTGGGGGAGGGGTGTCCTTGCCCTCCGTGGGGCTGTTAAGCCAGTGTGCCCACCACCTGGTCTGCGTCCTGAAGATGTGCCACCCTTCCACGCGGGCGCCGCCGCCGCTTCTGGGAGTGAGCTGGAGAACGCCGCCCTGGCTGGGAGCAGAGGTGACTGACGGTGGACCCTGAGCCGAGGTCGCTAGCGCTTGAGGACGTGCCCTTCCCCTCCTCCCAGGAGGGGCCACCCCCATTTGGGTAGCTTGTACCCAGGACTGTTTGGACTGATCGGGTTAGGGACCCTAGAGGGTTAAGGGAACAACAGGGATGGGGCTGCTGTGCCCTGTCTGGACCCCCACTGCCCCTGGGTGGCTCTGATTGTGGCTGATGCCTGGTTACAGATTGGTTTTTAACCCACGAATTGTGATGATTTTTTAAAAAGTCAGATGATTTTTGGCAGGCGTTAGAATAAATCCTGGGCCTGGGCTCCTGGTTCTCGGCCCTCCATGGTCTTCTCCCCCCAGGGGAAGCTGGAGGGAGAGGGTCCCGGCATGCCTCCAGCCTGCGGCCAAGCCAGGGCTCAGAGTGGGCTGAAGGTGGGGAGGCCGCTGCTCCTGCTGCAGGCGGCTGCCACTCAGGCCCCCCCTTCCCCTCTGGCCTCTGTCCCCCTTCTGGTTGGAGGAGGGAGAAGCGGGAAGTCTGGGAACTGGTTTGTCCACATCAACTCCCCATTGTTCCTCAGCCGCCCTCCAGGCAGAGCCCCCTGCCCAGGCTGGGTAAGGATGGGCTTGGTCCAGTATGGGCCCCAAGGGAGCAAGTCCCTCCTCCTGGGGAGAGTGCTCCTACCATGTAGTTGACCAGGGGCGAGGAGCACCCACCCCCCCCAGCAGCAGGCTGTGGGCCGGCTCCCATAACCCACCCAGCTAGGTGTCGTCCCTGTATCCTATCATGTGTCTGAGTGTGGGGGGGTTCTGTACTAATTTCCTTGGCCGGTGGCTTTTCCTCCCATGCATCACTCCCCCCGCATGCCCAGGGGCCACCCGCCTGGCATTACCGCATGCTGGGGTCATTGGGGGAGGGGGGTGGGGCTCACGCTGTCCTGTGGTCTTGAGATTTTTATTTTTGCATATGTAATCCACCCTGTACAGGTAGCTAACTTTGTAAACGCTGTGTATTCCCTCTGCCCCCATGGCTGCTGGTGTAAATAAACTGCATCTCCCGTTGGTAGCCTGGCCTACCCACCCTCATTGCCATGTCGCTGGGGGCAGAGCAAAGCCACTCTAAGTGTCACGGAGGGAGACACCACAGCCACAAAATGGAACTTTATTCAACCAGACACTGGCCCTCATCCAAGAACCCCAAAGGCAAGAGCCCGGCCCCGTGATCCACACCCAGAGCTCGTCCTTGGAGCTGGGCAGCATGGACGCTGGCCGAGGGCCCCATGCCTCTTGCTCACAGCCTTGGGCGCAGGGCGGCAGCAGCTGTGGCCTGGCTGCTCCCGATGCCGGGGGCTTGGCTGTGTGCCCCACCCCCTTCCTGACTGAGCTCTACAAAGGACTAAAAAAAACTGCAAGCAAAGTGCTTTGAAAGAAGGGAGAACACTGGAAGCAATCTAGAACATGGCGAACACCCTATCGCTGCTACAAGGCAGAGGGGGCAGGTGGAGGGGACTGGGTACCCAGAGGGCAGCGGGACAACCTTCATTCCCACACGTGAACTCAGGCTCGAAGGACTGCTGCCTGGCCAAGGGAGGAATGCAAGGACACCCAGCTCCCTGCAGAAGTATGCGTGGGCCATGCTGGGCCGCCCTGGGTGCTGGGGATGACATGCAGGGCGCTGGGAGAGCCAGGGTCGCAGGCCAGAGGGATCTTCAGAGCCCAGGCTCCCACAGAGCTGGCCAGCAGCCCTGAACTCCTCCGGGACCCCCACGTGAAGGAAGATGCCCTCTTCATTTCTACCTGAGTTGTGCTTGCGCAGAGGGGAAGTCTGTACTCCCGGGACGAGAAGGGGAGGCCCCACACCTGCCTCCCGTGTCCTGCGGAGGGGATACGCACATCCTTTCCAGCCCTCCCTCCCAGGCCCTTGGCCCAGCTCTGGCCAGGCAAAGAGCAGGCTGCGGAGGAGGAAGATCACGCCTCTTGTTTTCCTTATCGCCCATACATCCCAAATACTAGGAAGCTGAAAAAGACTGTGACCCCCACCAGGGAGACGGTGGCAGGCGCTGTGAAGAACTGCCGGTAATTGATTCGGAAGTACCAGACCACGCCCAACAGCACCACAAACACGGGCACCATGAGGCTGCCCACACTGACGCCGAGGCTGGGCGGCTCAGTGGCCGAAGGGGCCAGGGAGGCCGAGGGCCCAGGAACAGTTGCCCCTGGGGGCGAGCGGTGGCAGTGAATCACACAGTTGTCAGTGATGTTCAGAGAGCACAGTGTGCGGGCCGGGTCCTGCAGCAAGCGACCCTGGTAGATCAGTTTAATCTGGCTCTCCTGTCCAGGGAAATATTTGCTGGAAGGACGAAAGAGGTGGAAGAAAGACGAGGTAAGGAATGAGGAGGTAGACAGGCCTGGACCAAGAGCAGGAACAGGGAAGCTAAAGGGCAATTTCTAAGCAGGTATTTCCCCCCAGGGATGGGCCTCACACTCCCCGCCATGTCCCCCCAGCCGTCTCAGAGGCGACCAAGGGCTGGGGGCCCGGGCACGTGCAGCTTTCTGCTCTCCAGCCCACTCACCTCTTCAGGGCACCCACAGTGTCCTCCGGCCTGGCCACAGCCAGCTCCTCGGTGTCGTTGAGGAATTTGAGCCGCAAGTTAATGAGGCCAGGGCTGGCAGGAAGGCAGCTGCCGTCCTCGGATCTTGGGGGGGCTTTGGGACTGCTGCTCTCTGTGCCCGCTGGTCTCTTGGGCAGGACTTGGATGTCAAGCAGATGCTCGAGGCTGGGCTCAACACCACCCCGGGCTCCAGCTTCCCCTGCCGAGTCGCCCCCACCTTCGCCAGCCTCTTCAGCCTTCTCCTCACTACCCTCTGATGGATGGGGGAGCTCAGCTGGCTCTGGGGTGCTTTGGCCTGCCACCAGGTGGTCCACATGCCCCAGATGGAGGACAGATGTGTCGCCTGCAGACACGATAGTGCCCAGAAGCTGGTTGCTACCGCTGTCTGCTACATAGGTAGAGAGCCAAGCTAGGACCAGGGCTAGAATCAGCACCACCACACCTGCCACCACCATCACCTCATTACCCACACCCTCAATGAGGGTGACATCAGAGCGCTCCATGGCCTGGCTGCTGCCTGGGTCCACGCTGCAGGAACAAAGGGGAAAGCATCAGCAAAGCCTCAGCGGCTGCAATAAAAACTCTTGTGTATTTGGGGTCTACCTGACTCAGCCCTGAAAGAAAACGGGGTGCAATGTCCCATGGAGGGGTCACACCTTTCTAACCCTGGACCCCACCCCAAGGAGCTTACACTTTTCCTCTGTTGGGACCCCCCCCACTGGCGGAACATCAGGAAAGCCTCACAGCCTTGGCTGTGGTGCTACCCACAGGTGTTTTTGGTAGATGGGGACAGACATTTGTCTCTCGGAGCCCTGAGTTTCTCTAGGATTTCAATCACTTGGTCAAGCAAATAAGTCCCCTGAACAGCCTCCACAATGGCTGGGATACTTTCTTTCCAGGTCCCCTTGGAGGCACCAAGCAGCACCCTTGCCAGCCTATCTCTTTAGCTTACTTCATTTTCACTCATGGATCCAGCCAACATGTCAAACGCCAGTGACTTAACCTACCATCAAAAGCAAAGTCGAGCCACCTCGAAGGGACAACCCTGGAAGGCCATGGAGACACTGCAGCAGACATCACGTCTGCCTCCCGCAACCCTTCTGGCGAGCCTCAGGGAGCCCCGTGGGGCAGACACCAGAAGCGCCACCCTCCTGGGTCACAATGGGCTCACAACTGCAAAAACCACGGCCCAGGTGGAAATTATTTGGAAGAGATTCCACAGCAGCTCTCAGTCCAGAGCTCAACCTCTCTCCTCCGAGGGTGGAGGTTCTACTGCTGCCATTTCTTAGAAGGGCTGGACGGATCTCAGCCTGCTCCTTGAACACCTACTGTTTCTCTTGGAGAACCTGCTGCCTTCACGGCAAATCCAGTCTGGTGATCACCATGACCAGACCATCCTCACAGCATCTAGAAAACTCCTTTACTCTTGTCTACCTGTCCATCCCCGTACCTGCCTCCTGGCAGACAAGGATCCGTGTATCTCTGTCCCGGTGCCCCGCAACTTCCTAACGCCAGGGAAGTTGCTCGGGGAGTATTCGTGGACCAGATGCACATGTGAAGTTTGCACATCCTTGTCTAAGATACCTGCTAATCATCCCCCAGGCCTGCCTCTCCCAAGCGACGCTTGCCCAGAGCCTTGGCATTCTCATCAGTAAGATGGGGCTTCAGGTTGTACCTACCTCATGAGGTGGTTTTGAAGATGACGTGAAATCATTGGAGCACGACTCTTAGTGCCTGGCACATCGCAAGTGTCAGTAAATAAATGGCAGCAATTATCACCCCCACAACTATCCCCATGGCAAGGAGGTTAATGTCATCAACCGTGATGCACAGAAAAGGACACTGCGGCGAAGAAGAACGACTAAGGAGGCACAGGCTCGGAGGACTCGCGGGAGGGCCGGGCGGGACCCCAGTCGCCCGCCTCCACGGCCTGTGCCCTCCGCGGCCTGGAACTGCCCGGCCGCGCGCCGAGGGTCCCTGCTCTGCCTCGTCCGAGGGCTCCGCGTCTGGGGTCCTATCCCCGCAGCGCTGGAGAGCAGTCCATGAACCCACCAGAACCGAAGGCTGCCGGGCACCGGCGGCCGCACCCGGCTCCCGCAGTCCGCAAGGGGTAGCGGCAGCGGAGAGGGTCGCCAACCATCCACACCCCTCAAGCTCCGGGGCGGGGCCGGCCAACTGGGGGCGGGTCTTGAAGACGCGTGGAGTCATGGGAAATTAAAGGGGGCTTGGACCGATACTGTGCGTGGATGGGGAAGGAGGTCCTCACCTGAAAAGGCCAGACTAAATATTTTGGCTTCGCCAGGACGGCTCCTGGACTCGTCTTCCCGTAGGGGTCGAGGGAGGGGCTGGCAATCCCCGATTCTGTTCAGGGTCCAGTCTCTTCCGGCTTCTTCCGGAAACTGTTAGAACCATAGACAGGAAGTCCCACCTCCGTGCCCTGCACGGTTGACGTAACGCTACGTAAGGCGGGCTGACGTAAATATATTCTTCAAATAAAAGGGACAGGTTTCTCAGAGGAAGAAGGGGCGGAGCCACTGTTGGCGGGATCGCGGTCCTCCCGGGGCGGGCCTACGCCTGGTGGGCGGGGCCCGAAGCGACGAGGCATGAGAGGTGGGCCAGAAGGGAGGAGAGTGTTGGGGCGGGGCTGGGGAAGGGGCGTGGCTTCAGCCTGCAAGGATGTGCTGGCTGGCGCGGCCGGGCCGATCCCGAGCGAGGGTTCCCCTTACCGCCTGGTGCTTCCGGCCTTGCTCTCCGCCTCCCGGGCTGATGGGACGCATAACTTCTTTGCAACACGCACCGACCTCCAGGTTAGCAGGATTAGGAAGGACTAGTCTTTCTGAGCTCCAAAAACTCAGCCCTGGGCTGGCCGGGCAGACAGACAAGGAGGCAAGTTGCCGTCATCCTGCGCTTAGCGGCTGCGACCCCAGGTAGGCTGGGACCTTGGTGGGTGAGGCGGAAAGCGCTTCAGAGGAGGTACAGACATTGCGCACGATCAGGACACGAGAAAAGCAGCAGAAACCGAAAGCGGGAAGGGCAGCTTTCATGAACGGATTCAGATTTTTGCTATTAAAAATTGTCCTGAGCCGGGCTCGGTGGCTCAGCCTGTAATCCCGCGCCTTTGGGAGGCTGAGGTGAGTGGATGGCCTGAGCCCGCGGGTTCGAGACCCGCCTGGGCAACTTGGCGAGACCTCATCTCTGCAACAAATCAAAAATCAGCCGGGCGTGGTAGCGCGCGCCTGTAGTTCCAGCTACTCGGAAGGCGGAGGCGGAAGGATCGCCGGAGCCCAGCAGGTCGAGGCTGCGGTGGCCGGGAGCGGCCACTGCCCTCCGGTCTGGGCGACAGAGTGAGACTCCAACTCAAAAAAAAAAATTTTTTTTTTTTCCTGAAAACGTGCCGGGGTTCGTTTGGGGGTTTTGGTGAGCTTTTGATTAGAGTGTACATAAAGCAGACAGGGGCAGAGAAGAGCTCAGAGCTCAGTGGTTTGCACCAAATGAGATCTCCGTGGAACAAGCACTCAGATCAAGAAATGGAGCAAGATTCCCCCAGTTCCCTCTTCGTGTCTTCCAGCCACTAACCGCCAAAGAGCCGACGCTATTTGATGTCTGCTGTAGCCATAGCTTAGTTTTTTCCTGTTTTTGTACATTGTCTAAATGGAATCAAACAGTGCGTACCTAGCTTCTTTATTATTTTTGTTTTTTGAGTGGGAGTCTCCCTCCGTCGCCCAAGCTGGAGTGCAGTGGCATGTTCACGGCCTGTTGGGCTCAGGCTATCCATCCGCCTCAGCCTTCCAAGTAGCTGGAACCACAGGCATGTGCCACCACACTCTGGCTCATTTTTTATTTGATTGTAGAGATGAGGTCTCGCCAAGTTGTCCAGGCTGGTCTCGAGCCCGTGGGCTCAGGCAAGCCTCTTGCCTCAGACTCCCAAAGTGCTGGGATTACAAGCGTGAGCCACTGCACCCGGCTTGTCTAAGTTCTTTTAGAAAAAGGCTTTTGTCTGTGGTCAAATATACATCACCGCAATGGCGCACACCTGTAGTCCCAACTACTTTGGAGGCCGAGACAGAAGGATCACATCCTAAGAACTTGAGGCCAGCCTGGACAACATAGGGAGACCCTGTCTCTAAAAATAAATATTTTAGCCGGGCTCAGTGGCTCAGTCTGTAATCCCGCGTCTTTGGGAGGCTGAGGTGAGTGAATTGCCTGAGTCCGCGGGTTCGAGACCCGCCTGGGCAGCGAGACCTCATCTCTGCAATAAATCAAAAAATCAGCTGGGCGTGGTAGCGCGCCTGTAATTCCGGCTACTCGGAAGGCTGAGGCGGAAGGATCGCCGGAGCCCAGCAGGTCGAGGCTGTGGTGGCCTGGAGAGGCCACTGCACTGCAGTCTGGGGGACAGAGCGAGACTCCAACTCAAAATAAATAAATAAATAGATAAATAAAGAAATAAATAAAAATAAATATCTTAACATACATGTATAAAACTTGCTGTTTTGACTATGTTTAAGCATATAATTTAGTGGCACTGAGTAATTCACAATGTTGTGCACCCACCACCACAATCTACTCCCTGTACCCGTTAAGCAGAAACCTCCATCCTGCCTCCCCCAGTTGATTTTTCCTCTCTGAATGGGCCTCTCCTACATACTTCATAGAAGTGGAATCATAGATTTATCCCTTGTGCCTGGCTTATTTCACTTTGGTTATTTCACTTAACCTTAGTTTCCAAGGTTCGTCCATGCTGTAGCATAGATGAGAGTTTCATTACTTTTTCATTACTTTTTATATTATTTTATATATATATATATATATTTTTTTTTTTTTTTTGAGTCGGAGTCTCCCTCTATCGCCCAGGTTGGAGTGCAGTGGCACGCTCACAACCACCACAGCGTTGACCTGCTGGGCTTTGGCGATCCTTCCACTTCAACCTTCCAAATAGCTGGAACCATAGGCACGCGTCACCACAACTGGCTAATTTTTTTTAATTTTTTGAGTCAGAGTCCCTATTGCCCAGGCTGGAGCGCAGTAGCATGCTAACAGCCACTGCAGCCTCAACCTACTGGTCAGGCCATCCTTCTGCCTCAGCCTTTCAAGTAGCTAGAACTATAGATGTACCCTACCATGCCTGGCTAATTTTTTGATTTATGGTAGAAACGAGTTCTCAACAAGTTGTCCAGGCTGGTCTCGAATCCCTGAGCTCAGGCAGTCCTCTCGCCTCTGCCTCCCAGAGTGCTGAGATGACAGCCATAAGCCATCACACCTGGCTGTTTTTTCAGTTAAAGTCTCACTCTATCACCCAGGCTGGAGTGCAGTGACACAATCATGACGACTGTAACCTCAACCTCCTGGGCTCAGGAGATCTTCCTGCGCACCACCATGCCCAGCTGATTGTTTTGATTTATGTTAGAGACCAAATCTCACCAAGTTGCCCAGGCTGGTTTTGAACTCCTGGACTCAGGGAATCCTCTCACCTCAGCCTCTCAAAGTGCTGGGATTACAGGCATGAGCCACTGTGCCCAGCATATTTTTAATTATCTTTGTAGAGATTGTTTCCAAGATTGGTGTCAAACTCCTGGGCTCAGGTGATCCTCCTGCCTTGGCCTTCTGAGTAGCTAGTATTACAGGTATGCAACACCACGCCTGGCCAGGACTTTTGTGGTTTTTTTATTTTTAATTTTTTTTGAGTTGGAGTGTCACCCAGGATGGAGTGCAGTAGCATGCTCACAGCTACGACAGCCTCGACCTGCTGAACTCAGATTCTTCCACCTCAGCCTTCCAATAGCTGGAACTACAGGCACATGCCATTACGCTGGCAAATATTTTGATTTATTAGAGAGATGAGGTCTTGCCAAGTTGCCCAGACTGGTCTCGAACCCATGGGCTCAGGAATCCTCTTGCCTCCACCTCCCAAAGTGGTGGGATGACAGCCGTGAGCCACTGTGACTGGCCATGGTTGTTTTATATTTCAAATAGAGACAGGGTCTTGCTATGTTGCCCAGGCTGGTCTCCAAATCCTGGACTCGAGCAATTCTCCTGTCTTGGTCTCCTAAAGTGCTGGAATTACAGGTATGAGACACCACACTCAGCCCAGGGTTGGGCCTTTGAGGGTGGAGGAAGCAAAAGAAGAAAACTGAGGAAAGAAAGAAGCTTGCAGTTGGGATAGTATTACTGCCCAATGCTGGTCTCTTTAATTTAATTTAATTAATTTATTTATGAGTCTCCCTCTATCACACAGGCTGGAGTGCAGTAACACCATTAAGGCTCACTGCAGCCTCAACCTCCTGGGCTAAGCCTCTTGACTAGCTGGGACTACAGACACCCACCACCATACCCAACCTTTTTTTTTTTTTTTTTTGTAGAGATGAAGTGTCTTGCTATGTTGCCCAGGCTGGTCTTGAACATTCTGGGTGCAAGCAATCCTCCTGCCTCAACCTCCCACAATACTGGGATTGCAGGTGTGAGCCAGCACACCTAGCCCTTTTAAATATAATAAAAATTAACAGTATTTTAACATATCTTAACTCTGTGGATATTTTTCATGATGTAGTTCATGTAATGTTTATTTTTCCTAAACTATTGAACTTAGATTTTTTTTTTTTTGAGTTGGAGTCTCACTCTGTCGCCCAGACTGGAGTGCAGTGGCCGCTCCCGGCCACCGCAGCCTCGACCTGCTGGGCTCTGGCGATCCTTCTGCCTCAGCCTTCCAAGTTGCTGGGAACTACAGACGTACGCTACCATGCCCGGCTAATTTTTGATTTTTTGTAGAGATGAGGTCTCGCCAAGTTGCCCAGGCGGGTCTCGAACCCGCGGGCTCAGGCAATCCACTCACCTCAGCCTCCCAAATGCATGGGATTACAGGCTGAGCCACTGAGCCCGGCTTTTTTTTTTTTTTTTTTTTTTTTTTTTTTGAGTCAGAGTCTCACTGTTGCCCTGGCTGGACTGTCACGGCTACCACAGCCTTGACCTGCTGGGCTCAGGTGATCCTTTCACTTCAGCCTTCCAAGTAGCTGGAACTCCAGGCATGCACCACCACACTTGGTTAATTTTTTGATTTGTTGTAGAGAGGAGGTCTTGCCAAGTCGCCCAACTGGTCTTGAACCCTGGGATCAGGCAATCCTCTCACCTGGGCCTCCCAAAGTGCTGGGATTACAGATGTGAGCCACCACGCCTGGCTAAACTTAGACATTTTTAGACCTTTATGTATAATTATGATGGCTATGGAAAGGTGAACAACATACCTCTTTTTTTTTTTTGAGTTGGAGTCTCACTCTGTCACCCAGACTGGAGTGTGGCTGCTCCCGGCCACCGCAGCCTCGACCTGCTGGGCTCCGGCGATCCTTCTGCCTCAGCCTTCCGAGTAGCTGGAACTACAGGCGCACGCTAACATGCCCGGCTAATTTTTTTGATTTATTGTAGAGATGAGGTCTTGCCAAGATGCCCAGGCTGGTCTCCAACCCATGGGCTCAGGCAATCCTCTTACCTCGGCCTCCCAAAGTGCTGGAATTATAGGCATGAGCCACTCTTTTTCTTTCTTTTTTTTTTTTGAGTGGGAGTCTCACTCTGTCGCTGAGGCTGGAGTGCAGTGGCATGCTCCCGTCCACCACAGCCTCTACCTGCTGGGCTCCGGCAATCCTTCCATCTCAGCCTTCCAAGTAGCTGGAACTACAGGCGTGCACTACCGCGCCTGGCTAATTTGTGATTTATTGTAGAGACAAGTTCTGGCCAAATTGCCCGGGCTGGTCTCGAATCCTCGGGTTCAGGCAGTTCCCTCGCCTCGGCCTCCCAAAGTGCAGGGATTACAGGCTAAGCCACTGAGCCTGGTCCTGTTTTTCTTTCTTTTTTTTTTTTTTTGAGTTGGAGTCTCACTCTGTCGCCCAGACTGGA